GGAATGAAAAGCTGTGAAAACTTAAGGAGTGTGTAGGCAGGTTTAGCTCAAATGGTAAAAAGGTCATATCTGGTCTTGAAACCTGCCACATAGTAACACGTTTTCCTGACTGCATTTAAGAATTTTTAGGTAGCAGGCCCACCACTTATACAGTGAGTGTAGTGTGGATGTATGTTCTGATTTCCAGAGGTTTTTAAAGGTCTTAGAGACTGAGAGGAGAGTTTGGTGGAGCTGTCTTCTGGTAGTGTGATATTTTGTGGCAGACAGACAACTGGTGCCGACTCTTTGGTACATCTGACAAGTGCAGGCATAACAGAAAAGCAGTTGAGTCATTGCTCTAAGTACTCTGTGACCTGTGGGGCTGTGGTCATGGTTGCTATGAATGTCATCTCCTGGCCACTGCAGTAGTTTTCAGAAGATGATGTGAGATTTAGGCAGAGTTAGATAACCACATACCTGAATTGTTTCTAAAAAGGCACTTATTTCTGTTATCAGCTGGTTTTATTGATGATACCACAAAATAAGTAACTTTCCTTTCATGCTCGAGAAATTATTGCAATTTTGTAAAGAAACTTTCTTACCTCGTGCAAGGAGAGAATTTAATACAGACTGTTTAATGCAATAGAAACCCAACTTTTATCATCATCTGCAGGTGCTAACGTGACAAAGTAATTCTAGTTTGTAAGGAATGAACTGGGAGAGAACCCAGAAACAATTATGGCGGTCGATATGAGTCGGTGATGTGCTATAATGGGAAAAACCACTTTGTGCTCTAGTCTTTCAATCTAACGGCTTAGCAACAGAAGTAATGAAGCCTTGATTTCTGTGGAATCGTATCTGGTACCTCTAGCACATGCTGTCCCACCATGATGCTGCAATGCTAACTCTAAACAGGCAAGAAACAGTGATGCAAGGTGTAACAGTGTGTGATGCAGATGTGTAACAGTTTTGAATGCCTTTTCCCTAACTAGGGAGTTGAACAATTTTTCATTCTGTCCTGGTTGCTAATTTTGAAAAACTTAAGGGGCAGAGGGGAGGGTGGGGAGAGAGAGGTGAGGTTTAGAGAGAAAAACACATACATTTCACAGATAAGAGATTATCGCCTGTTTTCACCTTTCTGACATAAGAACAAAGAAATACTAATGCCTATGAATGGATTTTTTTAAAAAATACCTTTTACTTTTGAAGCAAGATCACATCAGTTTTAGGAGAACTAGACAGTAGATATGTTGGGTGCAGAGTTATGCAGAGCTCTAGAGGGAGTAAACTACTATGTACCTGCTTAATGAAGAGACATGCTAGTATTTCCCCTTGAAAATAAAGGTGCAAACAGGGTAATGGGAACATTTCGGGTTTAGCTCACCTTGAATTTTTTATTTAAGTCCAGACACTGAAAATCTGTCTAAAACCGGGAGATTTTAGAAATAAGTTGTGTACTCTGCAAGTGCACAGCTCTCTTCAGACCACAAGTGATGAGATGGGCAGCAGTTTAAAGCCAGGAAGAACAGTTCCAAAACTCATTCTCTAGGCTGCTCATTCAGTGAGTCATGAATTAGTTTTTATAAATCACTTTCCCATGTATCATCTTATTTTGCTGCTTGATTTTGAGCATCTCCAGTTGCAAGCTACAGGATGAAGGCTTTAGGATTTGATGCATCATTGGTGGCTGATATCCCACTTTGAGTCATTGTTCCTGGTAGATGTACATATAACTGTGTATGTTTTTTTCAAATACCTTATTATAATCTAGAGTTTTTATAAGCTTTTTCTTAATTTAACATAGTGATCCTGATTGTGAGGGTCATCGTTGTGAGAACAGTAACACGTATGATCATCAACAGTATGATGGAGAGGAGAGCCAAGATGAAGACAGCTGTTCAGAGCATAGCTCCAGTACCTCAACATCCACAAATCAGAAGGAAGGAAAATACTGTGACTGCTGTTACTGTGAGTTCTTCGGCCATGGAGGAGTAAGTTGTTGGATTTTAAAATCTTTTTTATTTGCTTTTTTGTCACTTACTCATCATTGATTGCATGTGATTTATCAGACTGCAACTTAAGGGGGTGGCATTGGAGCTCACTCAAGAGAAGTAGTAAAAGAGGCACGGTTAGAAAGTAATTTTCATCTTTGAAATAAGGGATTGAAACAAACCTTTCCAGTTTAAAGCAATTCAAGAGCAATAAAAATGACTAAAAAGATTTAGGAAGCAACTGACTTGGATAATAGGTACCATGTTTGACTGAAACTGCAAACAGGGGCATTGAGCCATTTAAATAACTTTATAAAAATTTATGCACTTATCTGTAGTAGTGTAATTATAAATAGTGTGATGAGTTTGAGTAGAAGTACACTTAATATAGGATATTTTTTTAAATGTTCATGGCAATTTCAGCCATTCTCCCATCTGTAAAAATAGCAATCTCAAAGTATTCACTTTAACCTGATTTAAAAAAAAAAAAAAAGGCAACAGAAAAAACCCTATTCCTACCTAGAATTTAGGCAGTGTAAGTTTAAATTATACTTTTATCAAAGGAAAACCCAAACTGCATTTTCCCTATTTTCAGTATTATGAACAATTTTATTTACTGGTGCATTTTGGTAGGCACTGACTTGTATTTGTATTTAAAGGGTGTTTTGAAGAACATACACAGTTATATGTTAATTTTGAAGAAATATTTTCCCTTATGGTCTTTATTTTAATACTTAACACTTTGTTTGAAGCATCCTTCAGTTAACTTCGTATGAGTAACATGCCTAGTGAATTATTATAATCATATCTCTTCCGTTGAAATGCTAAAAGCTGTGAAGTTGACACCTTTTTTTTTTTTAACTTAAAATTAGATTTTTCTGCTGGCCTCATTTGTAAATCTGTGTGTAGTCTGTTTTAATAATCAGTTAACCAGTAGAATTTGAGTCTGGCATTTTTTTTTTTCTATTTGAATTCAAAGCTCAGATTATTGACCATGTATTTGATCAGATGCAGTTTCATCTTAGGGCTTGAAGTGAATTAAAAGCCTCTGCCTTTTGGCTGAAAGGGGCAGGGAGGAGATCCCATTTCTCGTTGCATGTTCTCACCATGTCCATGATTGATCTGTCTTTACTAGTCATCTGATTGCACAGTAAGTTACTCGTTTTGCTGAAGTGGCAGAACGCTACAGGATTTTTAAGTTAATGGGCTTTGTTTTACTGGTTTAATGAGTTGAACTGGTGTAGCCCCTAACAGATGGGCACCGGATCTGGTGCAGGAGGGAGAGGGTAAGGCAGCAGGAGGGGAGGAGGAATAAGGACTTGAGAGACAGGAGCCATGGATGGGAATACAGATATAAAACATGATGCAAAGATTCAGCTTGCAGCAGTGTTAATAGGTTATTGATGCAACTCTGCTGGAGGTGTGCTGGCACGCTTCAGTGCAGTGTCACCAAGCCTTCAGTTACCGCCCAGAGGCACATATAGCCCAAACTCTGAAACAGACTTCCTAGAATATGGAAACAGCAGCAAATGTCTGCTTCTTTAAAATTTTAAAATGTGGTATACCAATCACAAGAGAAAATGGATACCTCCTTTCTTGCTTTTAAAGGCATTTCTTTGTCTTCTCACTTGTGCATTTCTCTGCAAGATCAGACGTTCTTTCAGTTGGCAAATACAGTTCACAAGCTAGCGCTAAGTCTGACAGGTCTGTTGTTGCCTGTAAAATACACCTTTAGGTACACGTACAAACAATAAGGAGTTTGATATTCAGTTTTAGACCTTCCAAGTTATTTGAAGGGCTCTAAAATTTTTAAATCTCAAAAGCATTAGGTCAGTGAAATTTTTACATTTAGTAACTAAATTTTTGTCTCATGTCCTTCAGCCTCCAGCTGCACCAACCAGTAGAAATTATGCAGAGATGCGAGAAAAGCTTCGTTTACGCCTCACAAAAAGGAAAGAGGAACAGCCGAAGAAACCAGATCAGATCTCTGAAAGGGAAAGTGTTGTTGACCATCGAAAGGTGGAAGACTTGCTACAATTTATAAACAGCTCTGAAACCAAACCAGTAAGCAGTTCTCGGGCAGCCAAGCGAGCCAGACATAAGCAAAGAAAGGTAAGACATAAAAGTAAGTTTATCTTAGACCTCATGTTTTTTAATCTGTGCATTCTTTGTAAGTATGCCACTGTATACTGACTTTATAATTGTTTTCTGTGTAGTTTGTGGTACACTACCTGTTTGCATACACACAGCTAGCTTACCTGCTCTGATGTTACCTGAGGAGTTATGTAATAACTGGGAGAATTCCTCACAATGTCATTGTTATGTGCTTTGTTCCGAGTCAACTTTATATTGGAATTTCCCAAACTTTAGAAAGCTATTTCATTGTGGCCCCCATTTCCCCACTACCAAAAACACCCCCCCACACACACAAACCCAACACAGATTGTTTGTAGAATTGACATTTAAAAGTAAGGGAAGTTAGAAAACTAGTGTTTCTTTATTGGGGTAATGGTTATGATAAAGTATCTCTGTAAGAAGCCAGGAAACAAGGTCAGTGCTTTTGTGAGAGTGGAAAAGTCAAGATTTGATATTTTTAGAATTGTTATACTGGGAACCTTGCTGTCCTGTTGAAGGAGGTTAAGTGCTGTGCCATGTGATGACGCAGAGGGCTATCCCAAGCTGGAGAGGAGTGGCAAGCTGCACAGAGGGAGCAGGGAAGAAAAAGTTACAGAAGAAACACATTAAAATGGAAATTGGCAAAAACATTTCTAAAAAACTCTGGTGTGTAACAGTGAAATTACTTTTTGAAAACAATATTTGCTGAGTTAATTGAGGAATTATTTTAAGTTGCACAAGGAGGATATTAGCTTTTCTTACTGCAGTTTAAGTATCAACCTTAGATATAAAGTTCAAGGCACAATGGTTGCTGAATGTTTTTGAATTCTGTTAAGTATGTTATGTGAGAGCACTGTAAATATTTCTTGTTTGCTGGCACTAATTCTACATTCTTTAACTGCTTCCATGGGTTTGGAAGACCTGACATTCACAAGTTATATTATTTGTCTTCATGTTGTAGCACTATTCAGCAATTTGAGGGCTTAGTGAATTATTTATAAATAAAATTCACTTTGCAAAATTCACAATGCAAAATTCACTTTGTTCTTGCAATGCAGTTTGAGCACAATTGGAAGATTCTCATAGGGTTTTTTACAAGACTTCTATAACTGTGGAAAAGTAATCCCATACAGGCACTTCTAAATGTGCAAGAAAATAAATGGACATGATTTTTCTCAGTGTATAACTTATTTTCATTTTTCTAATGATGCAAGATCAATGCTGCACAGCAAAGTTTTAGGCATTTGCAGTAATGGCTGGAAAAAAATCCCTTGTGTCTTTGTTTCATGTGGTTAATGAACTTATGGCTGACAACAGAAAACTTTACCAACCTTATTATTTTTGGCAACTTTTAATGTGCTTAGTGTTTTGCTGTAATTTTTTTTAATGATTGCTCTTCCTAATGTTTGTGAGCACTGAAACAGAGCAACCCTGCTGCCATAGCAAGAGAACAAGTAAACAATGCAACACCATGCAAACATAGTTACCTTAGTTATACATGCAGTTGTTGAGAATGAAGCTGAATGTTTTGTTCTCGGAACATTTTTGTGGTTGTAGAAAACTTTGATATGGAGTTAGGCTTAGCAGTAGCAAAGAGAAGATCAACAGTTGGTATTAACAACAGTCAAATATGCAACGGAAACATAGAAAATAGCAATACAGAAATAATTTTAGTGTACTTCAAAGGGCAGCATTTTTATAAATAATTTGCTTGCTGCACAGGCTTCTGTATGTTAACAACCTAGGATTTATAACATCAATAGAGAGAACTAGCATTAACCCCTAAGACTAATTTCCAAAATATTTATCACTTTCAATAAACCTATTTTTATTTTGTAGCTTGAAGAAAAAGCTCGACTTGAAGCAGAAGCCAGGGAGAGGGAGCATCACCAGTTGCTCGAGGAGCAGAGGCGGCGAGAGGAGGAAGAAGAGGAGAGACTGAAACAGGAATTACAACGGCTTCAGGAACTTCAGCAGTTGCGGGCTATAAAGAAAAAGAAGAAAGAACGAACAAGTAAAGACTGTCAGAAGGTGGACATGCTTACTCGAAACTGCCAGGCAGTGAAGGAATCTGTCCCAAACGTACCTGAAGACATTCAGAATGGTACACTCGAGCAATCAGAAAAGATAGAAACCTCCTCCGGCTCACTGTCGAGACACGTGAATCATACGGAACAGAGGCCGGTTTCAGAGACAGGCTGTGAACTATCCAGTCCTGTAAACACCAGAGACTCAAAGTTGCTTTATCAGAAAGAGGGAACTGTAAAGCAGCATGAGCCCCTCTCTTTTCTGCTTGATATTATGCATCAACATAAAGAAGGAAACAACAAACAGAAACTAAAGCAGATAAACAAACCGTGCGCTGAACAAGTGAAAAAGCCCGTTGAATCCCCCAAAGTAGCTGAGATTCAGACTAAAACCAGAAACCAAATAGAATCCAAAGCAAAAGCAGCAGAGCTCCCAGCACTTGCAGAACCTAAAAAAGAGGAGAAGAAATTAAACAATAACAACAAAAAACAGTTGAACCATGTAAAGGAAGAGAAGGCTCCTGTAACAAGTGAATCCCCTTCACCAAGTGAACAGCAACAAAACAATAAGCTTATACTTGCAGATTCTCCTCAACCAAAAGGCAAGAACAAGAAAAACAAGAAGAAAAAAGGGGACAAAGTCAACAATTCCATTGGTAAGTGTATAAAAAAAGCTGAACTTACTTTGGTTTTTTTTATTGAAATGAAAATGTTTGAAATCTTTTTTGAAGTTTGATCTTTCCCTTCAGTCAATTCTGCCCATGTAAATTAGAGAAACAGAAAAACTAGTGTCAGGAAAACTCAAGTCATTGTAATTATAACAATTAGGAGATGCATATAGTTTTAGTGAAGAGGTGTAGGGTGTTTTAAGGATTGAATAAAGTAGCATACGCTGCTTGTTTTATATGGGGATTTTGTCAGTTAAGAAAGCCAGTCTATTCTGTAAAGCATATCTTGCTTAAATTAAATATTTAAAATAATTCAATAGTATGCTGAAATCCATTTTGAACTTCTTTAAAAGTAAGGATGTTTCTCATAAAATGTTAAGAGGATATTCTAAAGTTGGACTTACTCTTTGAGCAAGGAGAATGAGGCGTCTAACAGCTAATACCAGAGCTGAGAAGAGCATGCAGTGCTAGCTGGTTGGCTTTGTCCTCGCGCTAATCTAACTGCCGTTCTTGGGCACCAGTTTATTTCTGCATGGATGGCAGTTTTGCGGTACAGACATCTGTCTGCTGGGAGCACCCGCTCGTTCCCCTGGGATCACCCGGTAGCCGAGTGGTAACGGTGCGTAAATTAAATGTCGGTTCGCCAGAATGACTTAAAATATTGCAGTTCTTGCTACCATTCTATCTGGTAAGCACACCAAGATACAAGCCCTTCATTCTTTGTCAGTCTCTACCAGTGGTGTTTCAGAATCAGCTTAACATGTTTATTGAGCTTTGTTTAAAAAATGTAAACCAAATTCCTGGTTGTTGCAACTGTGAGGTGTAGAGTCCAACTATGTTTTTGTGGTTTCATGGTTGGGTTTAGTCAGCCCACCAGTCTTTCTTTTTAACTCTTCTTATGTTCAGCGTTTCCATTCCATGTCAGTCAGTAGCTACACAGCATTGAACCTGTTTCTCTGATACCTTAGTTCTTCTGCATACTGTGTTGTAATGTGATTGGGTTAGGGGGTCTTTTTTAATTTACCAAGAGGAATGTACTCCAGTCATTGGAGTAAGACAGAACTCTAGAATTAGGAGCAGAAGGAGAAGACTGGAGACATTGAAGAAGAAACTATTGAAGAGGGGGGTGGTGGTGGAGGGTGTTTACTGCAGGAGAATTTAGGTAGCTTCCTACATCTTTTCCTGCTCCCTACACCTCACCATTGTTTTCTGCTGCTTAAATCAAGTATAGTTACAGTTTCTGAAAACTAATGTCTAGATGTGAAAAAACATAGGGACATGTTTCTGAATTTGTAGAGAGGCTCTCTGAAAAGTCAGAACTGGATTGCCACTTTGAGTAGTTCTGACTTTAGAACTACAAAAAAAGATACTGTAATATACTTTTTTTTTTTTAATCTGTAATTTCTTAAAGATATAGGGTTGATTAATTAGGTAATTCAAAGAACATGAAAAGAAGGTAACAAATTTGGGAGTTTTTTTAACTGCATTTTAAAATTAAGTGTTAAGGCAATGAAAATTCTTGCTTTTAGTGTGATCTTTGTTTCTTAAACTTATTCTGGCAGGGCATTTTAACTCCTTGTTGTGAAGAGGCTGAAGAAAACAAGGAGTATAGGGAAACCCTGTGTTTGTAGGGCTTTCTGGTTCTTCAGGAGTAAGTTGCATAGCAAAGACATGCACCTTTTGAACTACCAGGAATATCCTTAGAAGAAAGTTGGTTGTTCTCATAGTCTCAAGGGTTCTAGAGAGTCCTGATGTGTAATAGGTGGTTTTGGTTAGTTTCTCTGTCTCACCTTTTTGGAATATGTTCTGAAGCTGCTTCAGAAATGAGGCTGGAGTATATATGCAGTAAGATGGAGGCTTTAAAAGGAAAATGCTCAAATTGGTTTCTACAAAGATTTAAGCTTTCTGAAGTATTTTATTTTTTAAATACAAAGAGAACTATACACTGGGACAGTACAATATACCAACAGACTTTAAAGTGACTTGGTTGCTATAGCTGAGGGTTAAATTCAGGCCATATTAAAATATGTTTTTTAAAAATGTCTTTTTAATTATATGTTCATATTAATTCAGCCTAAATATGGATAATCTGTAGTCTACAAAGTGCAGGCAGTTCTCCAAAAACATCTTTAATGTAGCTCCTCCAAGCTTCTTCCTCTCTGCTTCCCCTTCCCCATGGAATCTAACGTAGTGTCATCCTTTTTCCTTTGCAGATGATGTGTTTCTACCCAAAGACATTGATCTAGACAGCGTGGAAATGGATGAAACGGAGCGAGAAGTGGAGTATTTTAAAAGGTAAAGTGCTGTAATCCCTACGCATAAAGCTGTTGCACTTCTTCCCTTATGCTGTGGTTTAAAAACAAACAAACAAAACCCCAAAAAACTTACAACTGTTGTAATGTAGCAAATCCTATTACAGCTGACATTCTGAATACTATAACATTCACCAAAGCTGTTGATCTATGGGCACAGATTATAGCTGAGTAGCACAAATAAAGAAGTAGTTGTAGAGAGCAAAAAGGTCTCCCCTCAGCTTCCTTTTTCTCCAGGCTAAACAATCCTGATTCCATCAGCTGCTCCTCATAAGAAATGTTCCCCAGCCCCTTCACCAGCTTCATTGCCCTTCTCTGAACACGCTTCAGCAACAAAATGTCCAGTGAGGGGCCCAAAACTGAAAACATTATTCAAGGTGCAGCCTCACTGCTGCCGAGTACAGGGGCAGGATAACTGCCCTAGTCCTGCTGGCCATGGTATTTCTGACATAAGCCAGGATGCTGTTGGCCTTCTTGGCCACCTGAGCACACTGCTGGCTCATGTTCGGCCACCATCAACCAACACCCCCAGATCCTTTTCTGCTGGGCAGATTTCCAGCCACTCCTCCCCAAGCCTGTAGCGTTGCATGGGGATGGTGTGACCCAAGTGCAGGACCCAGTACTTGGCCTTGTTAAACTTCATACAACTGACCTCATCCCATTGATCCAGCCTGTCCAGATCCCTTTGCAGAGCCTTCCTACCCTCAAGCAGATCAACACTTCCACCCAGCTTGGTGTCATCTGCAAACTTACTGAGGGTGAACTCAATCCCCTCATTCCAGATCATTGATAAAGATGTTAAACAAGACTGGCCCTAAGACAGCTTATGTTTGAATAATGTAGCACATGTTCTTCCATAATAGTGAAATCTGCTCAAATTTGGGTTTCTTTAATGGTGGCTGGGTGTGGTAGTTTCCCATGGGTGATGGACAAGTGATTTTTTTTTTAGATATGTCTTTTTCTAAGGGGTTTTGTCTTTCTGAATGAGATCCACTTTTCAAAAGCTGGATAACACCTGTGGTTTGATTTTTTTTTTTAAGTATATTGGTTTCACTTTATCACTTTTTTCTTTTCAGATTCTGCTTGGATTCTGCCAGACAGACAAGGCAGAGACTTTCCATCAACTGGTCTAATTTTAGCTTGAAAAAAACCACCTTTGCTGCACATTGAGATGACACGATATGGGGAGGGAACCCTGCAGGAATCGACGAACGACAACTCCACTTTTCTGTCCTGCTGTGCTGAGAGCTTATCTGGTCTTGAGCCAGTGCTGCCTTGCCTTGTCCCCAGTGCTGTGTGGATCTGCACTGAACCCTTTGGCCTGATAATTCTTGCGGACTGAAAAATTGCCACTTTCTACCTGAATTTGTTAGCTTGTGTGCTTGTAGTCTGTGAGTGAGACTTACTTGATTGTAGCTGTATGCTGTTGGAGTTGGAACAATAGCTCTTTTCCATCTCCTTCTGAATGCCTTGGCCTCAAAGACTTTAAATTGCTTAGGCTTGGGTGGAGGCCAAAATACTAGTTTGCATCATCTGCAGTGGCTCCTGTCACTTCTGCATCTAGCTATGTTTTGTCATTCTGACTCCTGACAAAGGAATGGACCTAGTCAGTTGTGCTTTCATCTGCTCCAGAATTCTCCTGACATGACTTCATGAAAAAAGAGGCTCTTATGGGACAAGTATTTCCTCGGTTCTTTCACAATCTACTGTTTAAGAGTGTACAAGTTACGCTATTTGTGTTTTGATTTTTTTTTTTCCTGACTTGTAGCCAGCTTGTGTAAGAATACTTGCAGAATGAGAAAATTTAAAAAAGAACAGTACTCACACTATCAAATCTGTTATAGAGTGTATAATTGTATTAACACTGAAGCCTAACTGGCTACTTTTTTAACATATTGTTAAGTAATATTAAAATCATGTCTTTCTTTTTGAAAGATGGAATACATTAGTATGGCAGAAGACTTGTCTTGCTTTTTTTGCTTGGGTAGGGGAAGGGAAGAAAGAAACATACCAAAAAATAATGGTTTTCTAAACTAGATTTCATCTTGTGTCAGAATTGGTCAGTGAATGCTACTTAACTTTAGAATTTTCCTCTATGAACACTTGTTTGCCAGCTCTCATGATGGGAAAAAACTACTATCTGCTGGAGCAAGAAAGACTCTGCTGAATGCTGGAGTTAAGTTGGTGCATTCTGTGAATTACTGTAATGCTTCTATTTCAATAGGTAATTTGTGAGAAACAAAGTAATACAAAAATTTCCAGTTTAATGTCAGTGTAGAACTGAAGTAGGTAGGCTCAATGCTACTCTCATGTAAATAGTTAACAATATAGTAACGTTTTACAGATTGCATAGTATTGCTCAGCATGGAAGGAAACCGGTAATTTAGGATTTTGATCTGTGTAAATGTACTGCACTCATAGAAGTTTTCATTATACTGCACTATTTATTCAGAATAGAGACAACAGAAGCTTTCTTTTTACCTCCAGGTGACCATACTTACCCAAATTATAAGGCAGTGTTTGTTTGGTTGTTTTTTTTTTAAAGATAATAGAACTTCCACTCAGCATGTATTTAAAATTACAATAGAGCTTCAAAGGTCACTAATGTCCTTTTCCAGAAACATTCTACATCTTTCTTTCTTGTACATGTTAACACATTTTTCTATGATACACCCACTGTTCTTGGGACTACTTTACAAGACACAGTCTAATTACACTCAGCTTTGTACTTGGGAAGGTTTGATGGATTATTGTTTCTGTGTCTCCTGTGTAGCAGGAGGATTGCATTGGCTACAGACCACTGAGATATCTACAACTTTACATCTCTCTTGTTGGTCCTGGAGCTTCTATCCCAGTGTGTGCTGCTGGTATGGAATATAGTTGCTCAGCTTTTACAAAGCCATTGTAGATAACTGAACCCTCAATCTCCTCTGTTAGAGGAGGGAATGACACAATACCTGTTCTCAAAATATAGTCCAGGGATGTAAAGGGGACAGCTTCTATTATTCTTTTCAGATTAAGATTGAGAAAGGGATTAATAGTTTAGTCTCACCTTTTTGTCAGTGCAGTATTATAGGGTATGTATTTGCTTGTGCTGAAGGAATAGCATCTCAAACCTAAAAGGTAAATCTGTGCCACTTAGCACCAACTGTCTCTGCAAAGCTGTGTACTATTGAAATTACCTGCATCAGTTAGTGGAAGAGAATGAACTTTGTTTCTTGGGATCATGGAAGTTTGCATCTATCGCAGCCTGAGTTATTAGTGATGTAAAAGTGGAGAGGCTTCTCATGTGGGACAGTGACTGTGGGGTGGGGAAGGCTGTTAACAGCTGAAGCTGGCTGTGTGAAATCCTTTTTAGGCCTTTTCAGTTCTCAACTGTAACACAAGGTGTCAGTGTATGTCATCACAAGTAACTTCTGCGTCAGTGATCTCAACCTCAAAGTTGAGGCACAGGATGGAAAAACTAGTTAATGTCACATGGGCAAATATTGGTGCAGATCCCAGCTTCACTAGGGTAGGAATGCTCTGAAAGTACTGAGATTTTAATGGTGGTAGAAACCTCATAGCATTCGTTTGCACTAGTATATGGGGAAGAGAGCCAACTTAATTCTTTACTAACAAAGCTGTTCAGAGAGTGATACATGAATATGATGTGCTTCTCCTTATTTTGAAATCCTGTATTAAGACAACAGAAGTCATCCTTTTGCATTTGAGGAATACGTGTATGTATTTGTAATATCCTTAAAAGATACTTGCCTTGTGTCAGTACAACTGACACAATTCCATGCACTACACAGAAAGCATGAAGAATGGCTCTCCATGGATCTGCTGCTGTTGCACCTTGGTGAGAACTTAAAGGCAAGTTGTATTTTTCTAAATTTGTAATTAAGTGAAGGTTAGCATGGGGCAGTCTGGGAGCCTGGAGATTTGAATGTACTGGCTTAAATTCTGCCACTTTTGTGGCCTTAGGCAAATGAGTTAGTTGCTATTCCTCCATTCATTAAATGGTTTTATTAAGGATTTGCTGAATTATGTTTCTTAATGCCTAAATAAGTAGCGATGTGAAGTCTGTTTAGGTTCAGCACTGTAACCTCCTGTTGGAAGCACAGATGTTCTACACTGGTATTTGTGTAGTTCAGATGTGTTCGATCCAGATAAAATACATCCAAAGGTAACTTTGAGTAGAGGAGACCTCTATAAATAGTATATCATGACTGAGTAAATTTGAATTCTTCGTGGGAGCTGGAAGAGGAAAAAATTCCACCTTTGAGAGTGGGCTGCTGTGATAACTGTAGTGTAACTTGTCCCCCTATTCCTCACTCAACATATATGAAAGGTGAGTATCTAAGCTCTGGAGGTGACTGGTGTCATATCTTGCAGGCCTGTCTGCTGATACCAGTGCTGCTGAATCTGAGGGTGTGGTACTTTTTCAGGCATTTCTTTAATGGAAGAGGGCATAGTTGCACAAAATGTTTGTATCTTGAACAGCGTTGATATTGGATACTCTAAGACAGCTCTTACCCAGCGATGTCTCAGCTCTGCTTAGCATTCACTGTTGCTGCTTTCTGAGGTAATGGAACTGAGAGTTCAGAAGTCTTCCCCAAGCTTTTTTTGGTGTGCCATCATTGGTACTTAAAGCTGTAGCCAAGATTCAGCGTGCTGGCAACACAGATCTGCCCGTAGAAGACGACTGGTATGTTAAAAATTAATTCACATAGTGACTGTTGAGTGTGCAGGCATTTGGTGTGTTTGCTGCTTAAAAAGGCTTGGCAAGTGGCTTTCTGCTTCAGTGGAAGGTTAGCTCACCTTTGCTTTAGTGTGGATCCAGTTGTATCATGGTGGAGAAATTAATGTTTACTGGAGTAAATGTTTACACTAATACTCAATTTCTGACATCTCCCAGTACAAACGAAGGTGTGCAACTTGTAATTGAAGAAGCTATTCTTTAAAAAAAAACAACAAAAAAACCTCCCAGAACCCCCCAAAAAACTCTGCTTGCTATGTTGTAACATAAATCCGAGCAAGATTAGGTGTGTAGTATCTTTGTTGTCCTTGGCTCTTTCTCTGTATTTAAACCTTCAGGAAATCTGAAGGCTGAAATCTTTGGTAGGGGATTTCTTTGAAGTGAAGTCACGGAAGTGACACGGATATCCCCCTCCTTCTTCCTGTCCATCAGAAAGAACTTAGAAAAAAAATTCCTGTTTTCCAAATTTTAAATGCCTTCCTAATTGCCAACAACTTGTCTCTCCTTTGCTGCCCCATTCATCGTTAACTGAAAATTAATCATTAAAATGTTGTATCTGGTGCTGCTGCTACAGGCAGCTGATGTAAGTGAACTGTTGTTGAAAGGAGGATGTTTTTCTCTTCTCTTCTGTTTTCCCTACTGAACAAAGAAATAACAACACCAAACCTTTGGGCCTCATTTCTGTTCTTCGCAGGTCTGTGCGTTTAGTTTCATCTTGCTGCTTTTAGCTGTACAGTTGGGCCTCTCCCAGCTCAGTGCTTAAAGGCATGGAAGAAACTACCTATGGATGCACTCTGGATCTACATAAACTGTTGAAAAACATGCCAGGTAAACATGTGTTTTCCTGTAACTGTACTCAGATTTTTACTGTTTTGCTTATAAAGGTGATAGGTACAAATGGGATTTTAAAGTGGATGGTGTCCAATTTCTGTCTTTGTGGAAGACATAAAACAAAAAAGGAGAGAAGTTATATATTGATTGTGTCTTCTCTGATATGTTTCTTGGTGATTTTTTTAAAAAACCTCTACTAGTTTGAATATCTCATTTTAGGATGGCCTGAAGCATGTTTTCACACCTCAATTACAGGTTCGTAGCCTTTAACGTTGCTGTTTCACCAGGTATTATTTGATCAGAAATAAGTAGTTTTATTGTGTCATTAGTGGCTGCTTAGGCAGAGTTGCCAGGATAACAGGCTGTGTGTAGTCTGGATGTTTAACCTAAATTTTCCTTCCAGTATTTCTGTCTTGCAGAAGAACAGCAATCCACAGATCTGCATAGACACAATGTGTCAAGAGTGATCTACTGGACAGTTCTTTTCTAGAAATCACCCAAAGACAAACCTCTGCCAGTGATGAGTGTTCAGGAATCTTGTGTCAACTCTTAACCTCCATTTTCTTCACCGTTTTTTTCTGGAAAAGTAAACCAACATCTCTTTGACAATGCTGTAATATCCATGAGCTGACAATTTCAGATTTGTTAGCTGGCGAGGTACATATGAGAAGGTAATGTTTTTGCTGCAGATAATACTTATGTCCAGCTTACTATCTGTGAAGAGAGGAGGCAGTGGGCAGTTGTAATATCTGTGAAGAAAAAGTGACGCCTAATATTAAATGGAAGAATAAATAAAAATCTGTATTGATGTACTCATGAATTATTATGTCACTTACACTGCATAAATTAGCGTGCGTTCCTCGCCAAGCATATCACTCAGCCAGCTTATACAAGTTTGATTTTTTTGAGGGAAAGATGTCTAGACTTGTTTTCCCATTTTTCTTTGCTTTAAACAGGCTGTTGACTCAAATCAAGTTAGTACAGTGATTTGTGCTGGTTTGGGGTTGGTTTGTTTTTGGGGGTTTTTTTTGTTGTTGTTTTGTTTGGTTGGGTTTTTTTAATGCAAGCAGCATGGTGTTGTCTAAGGTTGTTTTGCCTGTGACTAAAATACAAGATTTGAGTCCAGGGCTCTGGAGTGGAAAGGCTGGAATGCCAAACTCATCAGATCAGATGAATGTGTTGTTGCCTGCTGTTGCTTCAGCAGACTGTGCTGCAAACCACCCATCTGCATCAGCTCATGGGAGAGTGGCTTCCAAATTAACTGTAAATACATAATCAGCAAAGCTGTCTTCTTCCAAAAGGGCAAAAAAGTGTGAATCAATTCACTTGAGGCCAGATGTTTGAACATACTTACCTTGTCTAACGCACTGTGTCTT